TTCTCCCCGGGGAGCGGGGCTGGAAGGGTCCCGGGCAGCGCCTCGGCCTGCAGGCCGGAACGCTCCCCTTCGGGGGGTGTGTGTGTGTAAACGTCGTAAGTGGTTGTTCGGTGCCGAGGCTCCCGTTGGGGAGGAATTAAAACACGGTAGGATGAGGGTGCGTCTTCCGGAGGCTATTCTGGAGAGGCCGGGTGGCTTTACGGTGAGCACCGCCGAGGGGACGCCGTTGCAGGTCACTTCTTGCCCCCGCGAAGCACCAGCCGGGTCGGGGTGGTTCCCACCGGGCTCCTGCCTGGCCGTGGAGCAGCCGGAGATGGCATTTCCAGCGGCTGGCAGGTTGAGCACGTGGAACTTCTGGGAAGTTCTTGCTGCGGCGTGGGTCGTGCTTTTGTGTTCATTGTGCGCTTACTTCCAGCAACACTTTAAAATTGCATCCTACTTTGGTTTTTAAATGCAAAACAATCCCAATCTTTTCTCATGGGCAGTATTCTTAAGTCCTCATGCGTATTGTCAAATTTTCTCCACTTGACTGCCACGATTCTTTCTTGAGTTGGGATGCTCATCCTTGTTCACTTTTAAATGTTTCATCTCTTTTTTTGCAAATACTTCCTTTTTCTTCAATTTCAGAAGTGACAGGCCAGCTCTCGTTGCTTCAGCTGTGGTTAATGGCAGAGGTTGTTTCCTCTGCAAGTATCTGTCTGGGTCTTTACTCAGTTGCCTGTAACTTGCACATCACGACTTGCAAGCCTGAGAGGTCAAAATATAATACTAATAGCATAAAACTGGCTAGACGTGTCTGATTTTTAGGCTCTTCCCCCAAACCCTGGGTAAGCTGACAAGTATGCAAAGCTGGCAGATTCGGGCATCTTACCTTGGGGACCCTGCTTAAAGCCTAACAGAAGCAAGAGTAGATGCTGTCTGGCTCCTCGTGGCACTAGAGCTTTCAGTGTTAAACTGATCCCAACCTCTCACGGAAGGAGCTGCTGATAAAGGACCTGGATTCCTCTCCGGATTTTCTTTTTGAATTTTAGCAGATGTTCTCTGAGGCCGACAATGAAATCTCTCTGCTACCCACTGAAAATCAGTGCTGTGTAGGTGTGATTAGAATGAAACAAGAGTTGCTACTGGCTAATGTCCGCTGTTGCCACCTGGAGAACTCTCTTGGAGTGCTGTCAGCAGCTCTAGGGAACTGCTCATCTGCCCTCCTCAGTAGCTCTGCCGTCAGCAGTACAACAAAGATGTTCTGCATACCGATTGAATTTTGTTAAGCACAGACAGGACCAAAGAGAGACAAAACACTATCAGAATAGGGATAGGAATTTTTTTTTTTTTCCTCAGTGAAATACGTATTTTCTGTATGTGTGTGTTTTAAAATACAGCTGAACTCCCAGGGAGGCCCTTGGGCTGGCCTGTTTGGAGTCCCTGAATGTCACTGATCCTCTGCAGTTTGGTGCACCCAGGAGACGGGAGATTTGCCAGTCCCAGTGTGCTGAGTTCGTCCGTTTGCTGAACGGGCAGATTCTCTTTCACTGCTGCTGTTTGAGTTATTCCATTTGTTAGATCACATGATTGTATCACTGCAATTTGATAGTGCTGAATGGTTGCATTGGGTCTCTTTTTTTGGTAGAAAAATCTGTTTTCCTTTATTTGGCAGATATTTGGCTTGTAAGTTCATTAAGGTGACCATTGTTTTCCTTACCTGTAATTATGTGCTAATTGTAATTTTTTTAACTTCTTTCCTCTGTGGACTTCTGCTTGTTCTGCAGTTGGATGGAGAAGTAGCCTTGTTCATACATTGCCATGAGTGACTGCTGCTTTTCTGTACTTTCCTAGCTGCTAAAGCTACCAGGATTTGGTGATGGAGGCTTTGCTGGAAGGAATGCAAAGAAATGGGCAGGGGAGGTACGTATGCAACAGTATACACGAGTGATTAAAAATCATTTAAGTATTAACCTTAGCTCTTATTCAGAATCAAATCCTCTGGTGTCAGACAAAGCTTCTGTTGCTTAAATAAGGGCTTTGGAGTTTGTTCACTAGCGCATGCTGGTGGACAAATACAGTGTGCAGTGTCCTTCAGCTGATGCGGAAGCAAAGTCACTGGGTGAGCTGGCTTTGCAATAATCCCTTAATTGTTAGAAATTTAGTTTTACATCTTCCTGAAAACCTTACCTCTTTTTTTTTTTTTTGTAGTTGTAAACTCTTCTTACCATCTTAACATCAGGAGCAGTAGTAATTAAAGGTGTGAATAAATATTTTTTTTGTAACATCCTTGCAAGGTTAATGAGATGTGACTTTGTCTGTTTTTATTGAAAACATCTGATTATTTCCTGCTCGTGTTGAAACTGCAGAGTCCCATTCATCTCTGAAGAATCTTTAATGCTATGTCTTAGGTGAAAGTATCTAGACTTTTGGATCCCCGAGAGAGGCTGTAGCGCAAATAATGGAAAAAAATGTTTTATGTGTTAAACCAGTGTGAAGCAAAAGTTACTGATGCCATTTTCATAGTCATCTTTGAGAATGTGACTCAAGTTTACTGATACCGTATCTTCTACAGAGAACTGGTTGCAGAAATCAAGTTTAGACGTTGCTTTATATTAGCAGATGCTGTGAAGGAAATGTTCTTGCTTTGCATAATAGCTGCTAATTTTTGGCTAACTCGCAGGACAGGGTGAACTTCAAATTTAACTAATT